AGCGCTGCGGGCACAGATCTCACCGAGCAAGCGTCGGTGACTGGGGGGTGGGATCATCCAATTCGCAGGGGAGCGCAGGAAAGGATGGGGAGGCGGGAAGGGCGGGGGGCACGGGAGAAGCGACGCGGGGACAACAAGAATGGCGGCCAAGCAGGGGGAATCGAGGCAAAGGAAAGGGACGAGGGGGAAACGGAAAAAAGGGGCGGGGGAAGTGGGGCGGAAAGACTTCGTTAAGGTCGTGGTGGTGACCGAACAAGTAGCGTTTGTGAAGGGCGCGGAGGTGCCGTGGTCGTAAGGGCCGTGCTGTTGTGGTCAGTCATCGGGGTAATGTTAATGGACTTTGTATGTGGTGACTCCGTTGCGCGCGGGCGCGGCAATGCTCCTGGAGACCGGTGATGGAAGCAGGTGCCCGACACAGTCCCAGGGGCGTGAGCCAACGGATCCCTGTGAGGCGCCTGGGCCGGGCACGGTCACCACATCGGGCCGCGCTCAAGGGCCCGCGCGCCACTTATGTTCCGGCGCAGGGTGATCAGCGCATCCTGGCGTCCTCGCCCCACTGGCATTTGCCGCGCGAGCCATTTTCGTGTGGACTCGCCCATGCCCCCCCGAGATTTGAAACCCCAAGGGCTGGAAGCGTACAGTGTACAGTGCCATTGTATTTGCGGCACCTGGCTTGTTCTGCAAGTCTGACGACGCTACCGGGGTGTGAGCCCCTCCAGCCTGCAGGCACTGCTGAGAGGCAGGATGCACGATGGATGGTAACCATCGCTGTCCCTGCGTCTGAGGTCGGCGCGGAGACCCCGGTGACCTGGTCCGTTGGGCGGGCGGACTCAAGGATTGACTCCGATGTCGGAAATGCCGGCCTCACGTGGGGCTCGCGCGATAGTGTCATGCAAGGCGTTGTGCCTCTTAACCATGAAGCCGCCGTGTGAGCAGCAGAGTGTGTAGCGTCCATGGATGGCGGCGGTGACGTCGCAGTGGGATGAATCCACCTACTTGGCTGCGCGGACCAGTCCTCCGAGCCTGTGGCTGCAGACCATCGGGAAGTGATCATCACCGAGGTTGTGGGCGGGTCGTGTGGGCGGTCCGAGCCACGCGCCTGACCCCTTGCCTGTCTTACTGAGGGCAAAGGCCGGTTGGTGCGGCTCCGTCTCGGCGCGTCGGAGCCATGGTGCCCACTCGGCCTGCCGTCTGTGTCTAGTAAAGTGCCTCTTGATGGGGGGGCGATTACTGACGAAAATTATACTGAAGAACACGCGTCACTTGCGCGGGCACGGGATGTGCGAAAAGGGGGGGGCTGCCGCTCCGCCCATCCCGTGCGCGCGCTGGAGGATGCCTCCTTCGCCTCCACTCCTCCTCAGTCTCCTCTTCTACCTCGTCCTCGTCATCATCCTCCTTCTTCTTCGACCGCGGCTGCTGCCCTCTTCCCCCCTCTCCATGCAGCGCCTCCTCCTTCCCGCTCCTCCGATTGCTGGCGTTGCCCCTCCTGCTCCCCAGGAGCCTGCGATCCCCAGAGGCCCCTGGAGGCCCAAAACAAACGCTCGTAAGTCGACCTCCCCCGAACCCCCCCTCAACGGAGCCCCGACATCTCTCGAGTCATTACCCATCGGTCGGAAGACGTGGGCAGGGACATGAACAAGGAAGGCGTTGCAAGTGGGTCTCCGCCCGCCCCCTAAAGAGGAAGAAAAAGGGGAGGGGGGAAGACGCCCGTTGATTGGAGCAGGAAGGTTCCTGAAGCAGATTGAATCTGGGAATCCTGAAAACATGATCGACCCACGAACCCGGAAAGGAATATAGAAATGTAAGGCATTGCAACATTTCAAAGACACCTGATTGGGCGACGGGCACATGCAATGCTGAATGTATCGATGATGATGTACTGTGCCGAGGGCTGTGCTGTGCTACGCCGTGCTGAACTGCGATGTGCCATGCCGCGATTGTGCTCTATATAGCGTTGTGGATCGAGTCCTCCCTGGCATCCGAGTCCTCACCGAACTGATCTGGAGCGTAAGCTCGAGCTGCCTGAGCAGATGGTAGCTGCCCCAGAACTAATCGACAGAGGGAACATGCCAGGAGGACGCGCCGCGGAACGTCCCAAGGGACGCGCCAGGCGACGTGCCAGGGGACGTGCCATGGGCACGCACCGCGGGACGTGCCAAGGGGACGCGCTACGGAACGTGCCAATGGACGTGCCGAGGGACGTGCCAGGGGACGCGCCGCGCGACGTGCCAGGTGGACTCGCCACGGAACGCGCCAAAGAACGTGCCAAGGTGCATAGTTGAGTGTATCGATCTTGATGTACCGTGCCGACGGCTGTGCTGTGCTGGGCCGTGCTGAACTGCGATGTGCCATGCCGCGATTGTGCTCTATATAGCGTTGTGGATCGAGTCCTCCCTGGCATCCGAGTCCTCAATCAAGTGATCTGGATCTTAAGCTCGAGCTGCCTGAGCAGATGGTAGCTGCCCCAGAACTAATCGACAGAGGGAACATGCCAAGAGGACGCGCCGCGGAACGTCCCAAGGGACGCGCCAGGCGACGTGCCAGGGGACGTGCCATGGGCACGCACCGCGGGACGTGCCAAGGGGACGCGCTACGGAACGTGCCAATGGACGTGCACCGCACGACGTGCCAGGGGGACTCGCCACGGGACGCTCCGCGGAACGTGCCAGGCAACATGCCAGGCTGCAATGCTAAGGGTATCGATATTGATGTACCGTGCCGAGGGCTGTGCTGTGCCTGGGCGACCTGGACACGTGAAAACACGCGTTTCGCTCAAGACGTTGTCAGCACATCCTCATGCTAGATCCGCCTGGGCAACCTGGACACGTGCAAACAAGCGTCTCGCTCGAGACATCCTCAACACATGCTCATGCTAGACATCCGCCTGGGCGACCTGGACACGTGAAAACAAGCCTCTGGTTCGAGACATCCTCAACAAATCCTCATGCTAGACATCTGTCTGGGCCACCTGGAGGCGTGAAACCAAGCGTCTCGCTCGAGACATCCTCAAGACCTGGGCACGTGAAAACAAGCAATCCACTTGAGAGATCCTCAGAATTCAGGTCCCCAGGAGAGGACAATCTATAACACAAAACAAGCGGTTCGCTCGAGACATCCTCAACAAATTCTGAAAAACAAGCGTTTCGCTCGAGACGTGACGTCCTCAATGTTTAATTCGCCGGCCCTACGCGACCTCGTTATTGATCGCAGAATAATTTCGCCGGCCCTACAGCCGTCGAAACCGGGGGTAGACCAACTAAAAGAGAACCCTGGGCTCGAGCCCTTTCCGGGAAAAAGCATGTTCAACGACCGCTGGTCACTGTAAAACGGACGATACACCTCTCATACTTTCTTGCATGTCACGGGACCTGGAGGGCAGAACATGCCGAACAAGGTCGGCCTCGACTTTTCAAGACGTGGGGGACTCCCACGTCTTGAAAAGTCGAAGCCGACATGTTCGATCCCTGCCCCCCCCCCCGGACCTCGCGACCCGTTTCCTGGGCCATGACTTCCTTGCTTGACAGTTGTCTTACTTTCGCTGGCCCAACAAACAGCCAGAGGCGCGCAGACTGGAGAAGCGACGCCGAGATCAAAAAGACGACGATGTCGGAGGTCTCCGCGTTCTCCCTCCCTCCTCCTGGTGTGCTTTCTGATATGCACTTCCAGGCGGATCCATCCGTGGCCACAAGGGCGCTCCAGGAGGCCCAAGGATGCTGGGTCCTCGATCTTGGATCATGGGTCCTCCTCTGGAGTCTATGGAAGTATGGCCCCCCTCGTCCAGAGATCTCCACAAGTAGCCCCTGAGGCAAAACAAAAACAACTCAAATCCATCAAATCCCAAACATGTCCAGAAACTCCGGCTAAATCTGATAATCGATCTTCCTGCCTCCCCCGATGTCTTCCTCCTCGTTCCCTCATGCCTCCCTCCTCTCCGTCCTCCCTCCCTTCCACTTCCCCTCCACCTCCTTCTCTCCCATAATATACAATACGAATACTACCCTCCTCTCCTCCATGTCAACGAGCTGAAGAAAAATCCGGCCCTCTCCATGCAAGGTCTTATTATGTGAATGATGTCACAACAGCCCTTCATAGGATACGATGCAATATGTGTTCAATCAGAGCGTTGTTGATTTTCTAAATGGTACTCCCGCTGCCTCGCTGGCCTCATTTCAGGATCGCCGCTTTGCTCCAGTCGCTCAGACTGACCCTTCCGCCCCAGCGCGAGCCACATTATGGATCCGAATCCTTCCTCGTCGTTATTGCCCCTTCTATTCCCCTCGCAGCCGCTTCCAGATACTCCTAATCATCCAGCTCATCCTATCCTGCACCTGCTGCTGCTGTTCCTACTCTTCCTTCAAGTCCCCTCCTCCTCCTCCTACTACTACTACTCTTTCTCATGCTCATCCTTCTACTCATCCTTCTGCATCCTTCGATGAATGTGTATTCGAAACAAAGACGGAAAGGGATACGTGAGAGGGATATGACGTCAGATATGACGCGAGCGCACCCAGCTTGACCCTCCTCCCTTCGTTGATCACCTCTCCCCAGACGATGGAGGATCATCGATGTCTGATCCTCCCTCCCTCTCCTCGATCCTCGATCACGTATCGGCTCATGACGCTACTGGAGGCCCAACGAGGGCCCCAAGTGGCCGAAATCGACTCCGAAACTCGAGAAATCCTCCTCGATCTTCGACCCACGAAGCCAATCGGCGACGAACACCACGATGACAACGACGACGACGAGGCTTTTGACCTTACAAAGACTAGCCGCACGCGTACTAGCCAGAGTTCCAAACTCCACGGCCAGCGATGGAGACGCCACTCGACCCAGAGCCTCGATTCGCGGGCTGGGTCGTCGTCGCCAACGACGACGAGGCCGACGGAAGACGACGGAAGACGACGGCAGACGACGACGCCGACGACGTCGCTGACGCCGACGACGTCGACACGCCAACGCCACCGGCGCCGACGACGCCCCCCTCAAGGTGGGCGCCAAGCCTCCAGGAGCAGCTGCGGGCTTGCAGCGAGGCCGGAGAGGTCGGTGGCCTGCAGCGCGTGCTTGACAGTGTGGATGTGCAGCAACTTCGAAAGGAACCTGGGCTGTTTGACACGACCAACCCTCAACTTGGACTGGGCCGATCATAGGAAACACCGACCGCCCTGGAATCTCCAACGCATCTCCCCGCGAAGTCCCGCGAATCTCCAATTCCCAAGAAGTCTGCCCGCAAAATCTTGCCATGCTGCCCCGATCCTCAACTTGGGGCGTCAAAGGCACGCGCAGCGCAGGAGTCGGAGCGGCGTTCGCCCGGGCGGAGCCGTTGAGGCCGCTCGTGGCTGTCAGGCGCGAAAGGACCCTTGGCCAAACGGTGCAGGGAAAACTGCACTGCACACTGGAAGCCTCTGACACTGAAAGCCGTTCGTGCACACAAGGGCTGGACCTCAACGTTGTGTTTCGTGTTGTGTTCGTTTTGTTTTCAGTTTTGCTCTGCCTGTTTCCCCCCCTCCCGAAACGAAAACCAAAGCCCAGCCGAAGTCCAGCAACACAGCGTTTCTAGACCCAGTCCTGGTGTGCGCTGGCCGCTCGTCGTCGCCCTCGTCTCGGAGGCCGTGGCCCTCGCCGAGGCACCCGGAGAGAGGGGCGGCTCGACGTGCTCGACGTCGTCGTGTCGCTCGCTCGTCGTCGCGTCGCCGCCGTCGTCCCCGTCGCTCTCGCCAGCTCCAAGAGGGTGGAGGACGGCCCAGGGGGTCAGCAAGCCGCGGGACGCACAGAGACATACGAGTACTACATGTTGTCCCGGGAGGCGCGCGCCCGACCCGAACACATATAGCATACCCATCTTGTAGTAGATCGTTCCCTGAGCGGCGTGTCCAGAAAGCGCCCGCAAGAACGCCTGTACCATGAGATTTCTCGGTGCGCGCGTCGCCCCTGGGGGGACATACAGTATACGTATGTGGGGGTGACGCCGAAGCCAGGGCCGCGCAGCTGGCTCTACCCCGACGGAGCTCCGAGAGAGCCAGAGCGGGCCGCGGCGTCTCCTTGCGGGAGGGGAGTGCCCGGCGGCGGGAGCTGCAGTGTTGCGCGCGCGCGCTAACAGAGAGGCGCGCGCACGCCTTCACGCTAGGACGCCAGCTGCGTCGTATCCTCACGGTTGTCCTGGGCCGAGCGCGTGCAGCGGCATACGTATAGAAGCTCGAAAAAGAGGCGGGGGGAGCTGCAGTGTTCCGTGAACGTAGATGTGAGAGTGAACAGTGATACGTGCGCGCAAACAGAGAGGCGCGCGCACGCTTTCGCGCTGAGACGCCAGCTGCAGCGTATCCTCACGGTTGTCCTGGGCCGAGCTCGTGCCGCGGCATGAGTATAGAAATCTCGCAAGAGAAGCGGGGGGAGGTGAATGTAACAACCCGTCCGTCACCTCCTCCTGTGTCTCCTCCCCCTCCTCCTGCGTGCGCAAGTCACGTTCCCGGTTGCACTAGACGACACGCGTCCGCGGAAAGGAACAACAACAGCGGAATGGGAAGGATGGGTGGGCGGGTGAGGAATGCCAGATATGGCAGGAGCTTCTCTGGCTCGTCATTCTCCCCTTGCCCATCTCCTTCCTTCCTCACTCCCCCCCGTTCTCTCCCTTGCGGAAACCGCTACTCCCCAGACCTGTCCGGGGTGGTGTTCTGATCAAAATTTCGAAGCGAACCCAGCCGTGGTGACGAGGGAGGGCTAGCGGCATCGGCTCCTTTCCCTCCTCGGACCTTCCTCCCTCTCCTCCCCCTCTCGCCCTGTCCTCCCCTCTCCCCTCCCCCGCAGGAGCCAGCGGTCGATCCGCGTCAGGGCGTGGATCTTCTCCACGCCCATGCCGAGTTCGAAGGCCTTCGCAATCGCCCACACGCGCGAAGGCGTCGGCCTCGGCGGACCATGAGCCATGGGAACGACGAAGACGATGAGGATCACAATGACGACGGAAATCAAGACGACGATGAAGGCTCCGAGGGCGACGAGGCACAGGGCAAACATAACATAGATTCAGAGCGGCCAGCGAGAGCTGGCAGCACCAGAGGATGGGGGTGGGCCGATTGGAACCTGCTGCTGGATTCCTCGCCAGACCACCGCACTTGGAGGAGGTACTTACGCTTGAATTGCCACGAAACGAACGGGGGATGATGACGAGCACGCAACGAAAAAGGATTTTGGGGAGGAGGGGCTCGAGACCTCGAGGCGTAGCGCAGCCGTTTGACATGAAACAACATGGGAAACAGGGGCGGTGACAACAGCCGCAAGTCATAAGAAGGGAACCGACATGACATAAAGCTGAAACGGGGGAGGGGGAGACAGAGAAGACTGAGGAGATGAAGAAGCGGAAGAAAGCTGAGATGGAGTGGACTCAGCGGAAAATGTTCTCAAATATGGCACACACACACACACCACAGCTTCAAGCCGGATGCGCATCCCGCTTCCTTGTGCGCGTACCTTCCATTTTTCCCTTCCCCGCCAGGGGGGGGGTCCCAGGGGGGGTCCCGGGGGGGGGTAGCGGGGGGGGTCCTGGGTCAGATACGCAGCCCTCCCGGCGTCGCTTCTGTCCCTTCCCTACAGCCTTCTCCTCCACTGCGCCCGTCGCTTTCTCTCCTGTCCTACAACCTTTTCCTGAAGCGTGTCGGTACAAACCGAAACGGAACAACGTCGCCTCTGAGTCAAAGGGACCCATCTGATGCCGTCTCAAACTCCTCTCAGACATCATTCCCTGTTCCTCCTCCATTCTTTTCGTCGTCCACGCCTGCTCCATCCTGTTCCTCCTCCTCCCCCGTCTCTCCCTTTTCCATTTCTCCTCCTCTTCCTCTTCCTTCTCCTCTTGCTCCTCCTCCCCCCTTTTCCTCCTCCTTCTCCTCCTCCTCCTCTTCCTCCTCCCCCCCCTCTCCCCCCCTTTGCCGTCGAGAGCCGATGCCTCCAGGGTCGGCGGCACAGGCCGTAAGGCCCGCGCAATATGGCACACACCACAGCTTCAGGCCGGATGCGCATCCCGCTTCCTTGTGCGCGTATTCCGGGGCTGGAACACAGCATGGTGTGTTCGCTTGCGCGCCAATGGATTGACCGCGTCTTGTCATCCTGTGGACGTCGGGGGTAAGCCAGGCTGTCACGCATCATCCAGTCAATATCCAGCGCGTATGAATGATTCGCTCTTCACGACGTCGTCATATACTACGTCTTCGGAAACGAAGGCGCTCCTCACGCTAGCCATCAATTATGTTTCTCCGTGTTCTGTCGCTCGCCGCCATTGCGACTGACCGGATGCGCACTCTCTGTCTGAGCACCCTTGGTGTGGCCAACGGCCCGTGGCTGGGCGTTGCGCAGCTAACGTATCACTTTCGGCCGCAGCAGTTCGCATGCGGTTCACATTGGCCGCACATCATCGGTTCCTCACCATGGACCTCCATTGTGGTCGGGGGCGCGGGTTGGAGGATGGACGGGTGGGTGTCCAACGCGATTTGGCGCCATGGCGTTCTCTCCTTGTGTGTTGCCATCTTATGTAAACATGATGGACCCACGAACCCGGAAATGGATATAGACATGTGGAGCATGGACACGTTTTCACGATACCCAACTGGGCAACACCTCACGAAACATCCCACGAGACACTTCACGAAACATCCCACGAGACACCTCACGAAACATTCCACGAGACACCTCACGAAACATTCCACGAGACACCCCGCGAAACATTCCACGAGACACCCCACGAAACATTCGACGACGACAGGCAACCACTCAACCAAGGCGGTGTGGTCGTGCTGGGGAGTGGTCGTGCTGGGGGGTGGTCGTGCTGGGGTGTCGTGCTGGGGGTGGTCGTGCTGGGGCGTGGTCGTGCTGGGGCGTGGTCGTGCTGGGGCGTGGTCGTGCTGGGGTGTGGTCGTGCTGTGGTGAGGTCGTGCTGGGGTGTGGTCGTGCTGGGGTGTGGTCTTGCTGGGGTAGGGTCGTGCTGGGGTCGGGTCGTGCTGGGGTGTGGTCGTGCTGGGGTATGGTCGTGCTGGGGTGGGTCGTGCTGGGGTGGGGTCGTGCTGGGGTGTGGTCGTGCTGGGGTGTGGTCGTGCTGGGGTGTGGTCGTGCTAGGGTGGGGTCGTGCTGGGGTGTGGTCGTGCTGGGGTGTGGTCGTGCTGGGGTGTGGTCGTGCTGGGGTGTGGTCGTGCTGGGGCGTGGTCTCGTGGGGTCGTGCTGGGGTGTGGTCGTGCTGGGTGGGCCCTGTCGATGCGTCGTGTGGTGCTGGTCGTGGTGTGGTCGTGCTGGGGTGTGGTCGTGCTGGGGTGTGGTCGTGCTGGGGTGGTCGTGCTGGGGTGGTCGTGCTGGGGTGTGGTCGTGCTGGGGTGTGGTCGTGCTGGGGTGTGGTCGTGCTGGGGTGTGGTCGTGCTAGGGTGGGGTCGTGCTGGGGTGGGGTCGTGCTGGGGTGTGGTCGTGCTGGGGTGTGGTCGTGCTGGGGTGTGGTCGTGCGTGGGTGCTGGGGTGGGGTCGTGCGTGCTGGGGTGTGGTCGTGCTGGGGTGGTCCGCACCCTGTGATTTATCGATCGGGTCGTGCTGGGGTGTGGTCGTGCTGGTGCTGGGGTGTGGTCGTGCTGGGGTGTGGTCGTGCTGGGGTGTGGTCGTGCTGGGGTGTGGTCGTGCTGGGGCGTGGTCGTGCTGGGCGTGGTCGTGCTGGGGTGTGGTCATGCTGGGGGTGTGGTCGTGCTGAGGTGTCCCGCACCCTGTGATTTATCGATCGGGATTTCAAAAACAAGCGTTTCGCCTGAGACATCCTCAAGTTTTAATCCGCCGGCCTCCTTCGACCTCGATATTTATCAGGGAAAGAATCCGCCGGCCTTTCAAGTTGGGCACCGGGGACATGCTTACATAGGAAAAGAGAACCCTGGGCCTATGCCCTTTCCGGGAAAAAGGGTTATCTAAAGGTGGAGGCTCACGTTTGGCAATTCAGGTTGTTTTGCTGGTGGCTAACCACCCTTGCGTCTTCAACGTGCGGAAGCTCATGATGACAACGTCGTGGGGAAGGCCGCGGACACGCGCGCGCACTTCTACATCCTGGGGGGCACCGGGAAGTGTGGTCAGCTTGTCTTCCCCATTATCTCGACGCATCGAAAGCATGGGAAGAAGGGTGACAGAAGGAACGGAGGAATGACATGGAATGCCCAAAAAGGGGAAGTGCACAGCACTAAATACTGTCTGGCTTCCTTGATACGTATACGGTCTAACAGGGCCGCCACGCGCTGCTCGTAGGTGGGCACTTCCCTGGAGACCGAAAAACCGACTGGCACCACCGTAAAATCAGGCACGCACTCCGAGGGGACCGACTCGACCGAGGAGGCGAGCGGAGGGAGGCCAAGAGAAGAAGGAAGGAACGGAGGAGGAGCAGCATCTGCCGCGGGAGGAGGCGGCCGCGGAGGATGCCGGGGAGACCGGGGCGCCGCAGCCGACGGGGCACGACCGCGAAGGGGGGGGCAAGGGGAACCCCCCTCGAGCCGCGCACTCTGAGCCAGCTCCGCGAGCGCGCTCACGCCATTCAGCGGCCCGCCCGCCCTCGCCACCCTGCGCCCGTCGGCTCCCTTGTCCCCGAATAGGAGGGCGGCTGGCGAACGCCCGCGCACGCCCTCGTCCGCCAGGAAGCACCCGCGCCCTCCACCCCAAGAGCCCAGGGCGCCGAAAACAGGGCTTCTACGCGCCCGTCCGCGCCCGCGCGGGAAGCGCGCAACGGCCGCTGCACCACCAAGGCCATGGCCAAGCACCAGGGAGCTGACTCTCGATCTGCCCCGGCGCGCGGGCGGGGGCCGACGATGACCGACGACGACGGGCGGGGAGAGATTGCTTGATTCCGATGCGAGGGGTGGCGCCGTCCAGCCGATCGCAGCGGAAACGGCAGAGCCGATTGCGCGCGCGGCCCAGACCACGCCCCCGCGCCTTCCTGCCTGCACTTTATATACCAGCGGGGGGGTCCGAATCCCAAAGCAATCTCGGGGCGCGTCGGCCTGGTCCGAAGGGCCGGGCCCGCCTCCGCACTTAGGCCGGCGCGATGTCTGCGCGTTCCCATGTCTTAAATCCGCGCCTCGATGCCCCGACGCACGGGGCCCCGAAGCACGAGGGCGAACATCGCGCCTCTGGCCGCTTGGCTCACGGCGATGGAGACCCCCCCCGCCGCGCGCGGAAACGCGCCGGCCGAAAACGGCGCCTGCAAGCCGCCGCGAAGGCCCGCCGACCCGCGCGATGGCAGCAGTGGCCCCGCGCCCGCGCCACTTGGGGTTCAGGGGCGCCCGCGCGCGCGACGGGCGAGCGGCGCCGGCGCGTCGACCGACGCGGCCCTAGGCCCGGGGCAGACCCGCGCCTCCGCCGCGGCGGTCGGCGTCGCACAAACCCACTCCCGGCCAAAACCTCTGCGCCGCGGGCGGCGGGGGCGCCGGCGCGCCGCGGCGCCCGTCGCGCGCAACGGGAAACCCCAGGGCGCCAGCCCGGCGCTGCCCTTCAACGCCGCGCACCCTCGACGGGGGCGCGAAGGAGAAGGGCGACGACGTCGGGGTAGTCCACGTCACTGGGCTCTGCGCTGCCGCTAAGGCACTCGCGCTCTGAGCGGGGCGCGCTGATCCTGGCGCGCAGGCCAGCGATGAACTTGTCGGAGGCTCGCAGCCAATGGGGACGGCCGCCCGGGCGCGCGACGATCGTCGCGCACGCGCGCCCCCCCCGGGCAGGTCTGCTTGAAAGGCGCGCAAGAGAATTTCGCCAATCCGTTATGTTAGCGCGCGGCCTGCGCCGCGATGCCCTTGCTCGGTAGCAGCAAGCCCAGCGTGGCGCTCCCGTCGCGCGCGCAACAAGTGCCCCTGGCGACGGCGGGGCCATCGGCGGCGACGAGGCGGGCGGCTGCTTTCGCGTGCTCGAGGCGCGCGGCCCATTGTTGGAAAGCGCGGGCGGCCGTCGCAGCCGCGGCCCACGCCCCGATGGGGGCCGCGGTGGAATGACGACGAGGCCGTGCATCTCAGAGAACAGTCGCACCCCGCCAGCCTTTGCCCCCTCTGCAGGGCGAGAAAACCATTCGGCCGGCTCTTGAGGGGCCGACTGCCCTGGCATTTCTATAGGTATGCCAAGCAATGTTCTTAGAACGGAAGACTGATCGAATAACGATTTGGACGCCCGAAATGGGCACGGAAGAATGGGGCCAATGCCCAACAACAAATGTTGTTCCAAACCAACAGCGGCCGCTGTTGGGCAGGCGGCCTCCTGTCTCGAATGGACACAGGCCGCGGCGGCGTGGACAGCGAGTCCTGTTCAAAATGAACCAGATCCGCTGCCCGGGATCGCGCCCATTTTTCAGCACCCATTTCGGGCGCCCAGAAACGAAAGCAAAACTCTTAGAACATAGCGCCGGCGCGCGATGTCCAGACGGTCTCAGCCAGGAGCGTTCTTCGAACACTTCGTACAAAACACGACTGGCCTCATTTTTTAGAACGTGGACCAACAGGCAGGCTGGGACGTTTCGCCACTGCTCGAGGGTAGCATTCGCTAGGCGAGCGCTCGATCAAGACGCTTCTTCGCAAGGCCGCTGCCGACGACCACATCCCTGCGACGAAGGACTGGCTGCGCGGTGCTGCCCGGGGCGCGATAGCAACTCCGATTGGGCATTTCGTTGCCGCTGTCCTGTCTTGCCCAGCTCATAGTAGAGGTGTCTGGGCGCCTCTGCTGCTGGGCAGCGCGGCCCCGAGCGCGCCGCCGCTGGCGTCAACCAGAGGCCGCCGACCCACGCGATCGCGCACCTCCGCGCGCATGCAATCCTGATCCTGGCAGTACTGCAACGGCATGGTCAAGATCGCGCGCCGCAAGCGTAGGCCGCGCCCGAGATCTTCAGTCCAGCTGCCTCTGCGGGAAACGACTGCCCCGGCGCCCGCGCGCGGCCAGCGCGGCCGAAGAGCGCGACGCTTCCGAACCCGGACTGTCCTAGATCAAGATCCTGGGCCGCTGCGCGGGCGCCTGCCCCCTCTCGACCTTGAGTCAAATACCGGACAGCCTGTGCAACTGACGGGGGGCGCCCTGCAGGTGCGCGGCGACGCGACGCGCGTGGAGGAGCGAAGAAATCGTCGACGAGCTCACCCGCCCCACGCGCGAGCATCCCAGGACGGCGCCAAAGGCGCAAAATAGCAAAGCGCTGTGGGCGAACGCGAAGAAGCCGCCCTCTGGGTTCACGTCGTCGCTTCAGACCAGTGCGTCCACCAAGTTGCGCTCGTGGGGGCGCACGGGCCACTGGCGGCACGCCTTCTTGTGGCCCCCCTCTGCGAGGAGCGGTTCGCCGCCACTGCCCAAATATTGATAGCGTTCTGCCACGTGCTGGATGGTGGTTGTGAGCGCGGAGAGCCGTGACCCGCATGGCCTCGATGTCCGCGGCCGCAGGGTTGAGGCCACCCGCGGTTGAATTGACGATGGGCCGGACATTGTACATGGTTGCCCCGCGGTATTGAACCTTGGGGCGCCGCTATGTTGGCAATCATTCCGCGAACGACACCGTGCTCACCGAGTCGCTGTCACGGCCCACGTAATCATCCCTATGAGCCTTCCCTTCTCCCTGTCGCAACGTCTTCCTGCGTCCGGGGCAGGCTGTCATGCGTCCCTCGTTGCTGGCTTGGTCTGTTCATGAGCTCTTTCAACGCGTGGTCCCTGCCCTGGAATGCGTGCTGCAGCGCTTCCGCTACATCCAGACCGCTGGGCAGCTGCCCAACGCGCGCGCTGCCGAAGAACATGGGAACGGGCATGGGTCCCGCCATCGGGAAACCGCGGTCAATGTCGTCGCACACGGCCCAATCTGCGTGTCCAGGTGCTTTCACCATCCCCCTTTGGAGCGGACCGCTGTAACCTGGGGGCAAGACTGCCCTGACTTCGGGGACGAGAGCCGACTTCCAGTGCGCTGCCGCTGCGGCCACGTTGTCGGCGCGCGCGCCCGAACGCCTCACCTGCGCCGTGGCCACGTGCTCGAAGTCCCGGCGACACGTCGTACACTGCAGGGCGCGGTGTGCCCCGTTCAGCACTCGACTGGGCGAGTCTGGTGGGTGCGCCTTGGGCGGGCTGCGACGTCGACGAATTGGACTACAAGGGCAGGACCGCCCCCGAGGCACGCGTAGCGCGCTTGAGCCAAAATGGGCACGCAGATAAAGTTTCCCCCCCCCGGCCTTCGCGCTCGACTCGGCCAGCTCCGCGAGCCCGTGCCCGACCCAACCCAAAGCCGAGGCATTCGAAAGAGGGGGTGACTGTGAGGGCGAGGTGGGAGAAAAACAGGGGCAGGAGAAGGAGACTGCGTGCTAGATCCATCCCTTCTCTTCCTCCCCCTCTCCCTTCCTCCTCCATCCAACCACCTCCCTCCGCCATCCCCCCTCCTTCCTACTCTCCCCCTCCTCCCCCTCCTCCCTCGTAGTCCTCCCTACCCCTCCCCTCCATCCCCTCCCTACCCCTCCTGTCCATCCCCTCCCTCCCCCTCCTCCCCCTCCTCCCTCTTGCTCCGTCCTGCCCATCCTCTCCATCCACGCCCTCGCGACGCCGCTCGGCCTCATCAACTCCGCCTCGACGAAGTGCGCGGTGCCCTGGCACGGCGCCGAGGGCTGGGCTCCGCTCCCCGTAGCTCGAAGGAAGCCCAAAACGCCACCGAACGTCCCCCCCCCCCGGGAAGGGCCGCTCGTGTCCGCGACGAGGCCACCCCCCCGTCCTCCTCATCGTCCCATCACTGGAGGCTGGCTAGGGTACGGAAAGTTCGCGCGGCGTTGGCGCGCCGATCATTCAAGCTTGAATCGATCGCGGCCCCGATCGTTCCAAATTGAACTCCGTCGGGTCCAATGGAATTACCGTGTCCCTCTGTGCTTCCGCGTCACCGGCTTCAACCTTGAACGCCTTCGCCAGCGTCGTCGGCGCGCCGACGCCTCATAAACCTTCCGTAGGACGGGTGGTTCGAGCCCCATGAATCTGCGCGACAGCAGGCAACATAACATGGTTTCCGGCGGCATTTGGGCCCGCAGCGCTCAGCATCCGAGGCTACAGCAGGGGTGGCAAAGTCCATCAGGCCTATTGTGCACGTCATAGGGTGGGATTCGCCCCAGCAGCAAAATCGGTCACGTCATCACTTCATCTCCGGAAAGGTACGTACGTACTCCTCCTCCTCCTCCTCCTCCTCCTCCGCCCGCCTCCTGACCCGAACAACAACGCCGCCGAACGCCCCCATCTTCTGGTGAAGGACCGCTCGTGTTGGCGACGGGGAACCTCTCCCCGTGTTCCGCCTCCGCAAGGGTATAGTATCTCCTCCTCCTCCTTCTCCTCCTCCTCCTCCTCATGACTTCTTATGTTTTGTCAGTTCTTTCCAACGCCGTATTTGAGAAAGAAGGGGAGGTTGAGGGGACGCGAGCGGACAGGCCACCCATGGTGCCAGCAAGCGTCGCAATGTGGGCGAACGCAAAAAGCTGGCTGCCAGGTTGAGAGGGGACCTCAGCCAGGCAAATCCAAGTATAAGGCTGCCCACCAAAAGAACTCCGCGAGTGGCAGCGATTCCAGGTTGGCCTCACGCGCACCCCGAGAGGGCAGGAGGCTTTGGCAGGGAACGAGGCGGACGCCGCTGACGCCACAGCGACGACGACCAGCGGCGGCGAGGACGAAGACGACAGACGAACGTGCGCAGGGACGACGGCCGACGACGGAGGCGGTGGCAACAAAACCAAAAGGCACCGATACCATTGACCTCTCCTGGGTGCGTTCTGACCAGAATCTCGAGGCGAATCCAGCGGTGGCGACGACGGTTCACCACGGGGAAACCGAGGCAAGGGTAGCCGTAATTGTGGGTGCCTTTTCCCTCCTCTGAGGCCCACCCCACGGGGGCACCGCGAGCCTCCTCGCCGCGGTGTGCGAGCTCCAGGTCGAAGCGCTCGGAGTCGAAGCCCTTGCAGGCCTCGTCGACCATGCGCAAAGCCTCGCGGTGCAGAGGCCTTTCGCTTATGTTAGGGTCCCACGCAATGGCTCCAAGAGCGTCCGATGAGACATCAACATGGCCCCGAGTGCGCGTCAGTGCCGCAAGAACCCCGCCAAATGGTGCCCACGAGGGCCCGAACCTTGCTCCAGTGGGCTCCAACATAGCTCCAAGGTCGCCCGATGAGACATCCGCATGGCCCCAAGTCTGCGTCAGTGCCGCCAGCAACCCGCCAAATGGTGCCCACGAGGGCCCAAACATTGCTCCAATGGGCTCCAACATAGAGCCAAGGTCGCCAAACAAGACATCCGAATGGACCCAGGTCGGCCGAAGTGCCGCCAGCACCCCGCCAAGTGGTCCACACGAGGGCCCAAGTAGGCTTCAACATAGCTTAGAGGTTGCCCCAAAAGACATCCGCATGGCCCCGAGTGGGCGTCAGTGCCGCCAGCACCTCGAAAAAAATGTGCCCACGAGGGCCTACGCATTGCTCCAGTGGGCTCCATCATAGCTCCGAGGTCGGCCCAAGAGACATCCGCATAACCCCGAGTCGGCGGCAGTGCCTCAAGCAACCCGCCGAGTGGTGCCCACGAGGGCCCAAACATTGCTCCAAAGTGCTCCAATATAGCTCCGAGGTCGCGTCAAGAGACATCCAGTTGGCCCCGGGTCGGCGTCGGTGCCGCCAGAACCCCGCCAAGCTGTGCCCAAGAGGTCCCCGGCATTGCTCCGGTGCTCTCCAGCATAGCCCCGAGATCGCCCTAAGAGGCATCCACTTGACCCCGGGTCGGCGTCAGTGCCGCCAGCACCTGGCAGAGTTGTGTCCACGAGAGCCAAGCATTGCTCCAGCGTGCTCCAACATAGCTCAGATGCCGCCCCAACAGACATTCGCATGGCTCCAAGTCGGCGTCAGTGCCACCAGCACCCCGCGAAGTGGTGTCCACCAGGGTCCAAGCACTGCTCCTACACGGCTCCAACATGGCCCCGGCGTCGCCCCACCAAGCATCAACACGGCCCGGAATCGCGGTCAGGGCCGCCAGCACACGGCCAAGAGGTGCCCACGAGGGCCCGAGCATTGCCCAAGTGGGCTCCACAATAGCTCCAAGGACGTCCTAAGAGGCATCACCATGGCCCTGAGTCGGCGTCAGTGCCGCCAGCACATCGCCAAGTGGTACCCACGAGAGCCGAGCATGGCTCCAGTGAGCTCCAACATAGCACAGAGGTCGCACCAAGAGACATTCCAATGTCCCCGAGTCGGCGTAAGTGCCGATGGCATCCCGCCAAGTGGTGCACACGAATGCCCCAGCATTGCTCCAGTGGGCTCCAACATAGCTGAGAAGTCGCCCCAAAGGGCATCCGCATGGCCCCGAGTCTGCGTCAGTGCTGCAAGCACCCCGCCAAGCTGTGTCCACGCGAGCCCAAGCACCGCTTCAACATGGCTCCAGCATGACTTCGAGGTCACCCCAAGAGACATCCGCATGGCCCCGAGCTGGCGTCAGTGCCGCCAGCACCCCGCCAAGTGGTTCCCACGAGGGCAAAAGCATTGCTCCAGCAGGCCCGAACGTAGCTCCGAGGCCTCCCCAAGAGGCATCCGCATGGCCCCCAGTCGGCTTCAGTGCCGCCAGCACCCCGCCAACCTGTGCCCAAGAGGCCCAAAGCTGTGCCCACGAGGTCCCCACATAGCTCCGAGGTCCCCACATAGCTCCGAGGTCCCCGGCATTGCTCCAGTGCTCTCCAGCATAACCCCGAGATCGCCCTAAGAGACATCCACTTGACCCCGAGTCGGCGTCAGTGCCGCCAGCACCCCGCCAAGATGTGCCCACGAGGCCCCAAGCTGTGCCCAAGGGAGCCCACCATAGCTCCGAGATCGCCCCACGAGGCATCCGCATGGCCTCGAGTCCACGTCAGTGCCGCAAGCAGTCAAGCACCCCGTCAAGTGGTGTCAACGAGGGCCCAAGCACTGCTCCAACATGGCTCTAACATGGCTCCGATGTCGCCCCAAGACGCATCCGCATGGCCCCGGGTCGGCGTCAGTGTCGCAAGCACCCCGCCAGGTTGTGCCACCGAGACCCAAACATTGCTCCAGTGGGCTCCAGCATAGCTCCGAAACGTCAGTGCATCCAGCACCCCGTCAGAACTTGTGCCCACGAGGGCCAAAGTAATGCTCCAGTGGGCTCCAACACTGGCTCAAGCAGTGCTTCAGTGGGCGCCAACATAGCTCCGAGGTCGCTCCAAGAGGCATCACCACGGCTCCGAGTCGGCGTCAGTGCCGCTAGCACCCCGCCAAGTGAAGCCGACGAGGGCCCCACGAGGGCCCCAGCATTGCTCCAGAGGGCTCCAACATAGCTCCGAGGTAGCCCCAAGAGGCATCAGCATGGCCCCGAGTCGGCGTCAGTGCCGCCAGCAACCCGCCAAGTGGTGCCCACGAGGGCCCAAACAGTGCCCGAGTGGGCTCCAGCAACTCTCCGAGGTCGCCCAGAGAGGCATCACCATGGACTGGAATCGGCGTCAATGCCGCCAACACCCCGCCAAATTGTGCCCAAACCTGGGCCCACGTCCCGCGCGTCGCGTGCTTGGATGGTAGTGCTGCCCTGGAGATCAAGAGAATCAAATGTTGCCCTGGAATATGCCCCGTCAATGCCGCACCGAGGATCACCCAAAGAGGCACAACGACTGCCTCCCGAGAACGCCAAGCAGACCCTGATATGCAAAACTCCCTGGACCACAACACTGTCATCTTGTTTTAAGCTCGGGGAGCCCCTGATATGAGAGAGCGTGATCCACCGCCGCTTTACTGTGGAAAATTGCCAGCCTTTTCCTCCGGAACCCGGGGGTCTCCCCCCCCCCCCCCTCCGAAAATCCCCCCCCCCTGCCGGAACCCCCCCCCCCCCCCCCCCCCCCCGCGCCCCCCCCCCCCTCCCTCCCGGCAAAACCCCCCCCTCCCCTAACCCCTCCCCCCCCCCCCTCCCCCTCGAAAACCGGGGGGGGTCACTACCGGTTCGAACCTTCCCCCCCCCCCCCCCCCGTCCGGATCCGGAAAACCGGGGGGGGGTCACTACCGGTTGGAACCCCCCCCCCCCTCGAAAACCGGAGGGGGTCACTACCGGTTCGACCCCCCCCCCACGCACCGCCAGCAAACGACTCCCGGTCCCTACCACCGCTCGCATCACATCCCCCACTGTTGTTCCCAGCACCACTGTCCTCACCACCACTGTCCCCACTGGTTCCACCACCGTCCCTATTGTCCCCACCAATGCCCCCACCACTGTCGCACTGTCCCCACTGTTCCCCCACAACTGTTCCCACCACGGTTCCACTCTCCCCACTGTCTCCACGGACCCAACCACTGCCTATCCCCACTGTCCCCACTGTCCCACTGACTCCTCCGCTGTCCCACTGAGCTGTCCCACTGTTTCCACCACTGTCCCCACTGTCCCCACCACTGTCCCCACTGTACCTCTGTCCCATTGTCCGACCGCCGTCCTCGCCACCGCCTTTACCAGTGTCCCCACCACCATTGTACCCTCCACTGTCCCAGTGTTTCCACCTCATTCCCACTGTCCCCACACCACTGTCCCCACCACCACCGTTCCCACCACTGTCCACTGTCCCCCCTGTTCCCACCATTGTCCCCACCACTGTCCCCACCACTACCGTCCCCACCACTGTCCCACTGTCCCCCCACTGTCCCCACCACTGTCCCGCTGTCCCCTCACCACTGTCCCCACCAACACCGTCCCCACCACTGTCCGCACCCCCACTCGGTTTTCGAGGGGGGGGGGGGGGTTCGAACCGGTAGTGACCCCCCCCCTTTTCATGATGAGCTGGGGGGGGGGGAGGGGTTCGAACCGGTAGTGACCCCCCCCGGTTTTCCGGAGGGGGGGGGGAGGGGTTCGAACCGGTAGTGACCCCCCCCGGTTTTCCGCCAGCAGCGGTAGAACACGCTCTTTCCCTGATATCGTTCAAACCTGCCGCGGGAACGCACCAAGCCCTGGTGTCTGGAAAGGTGCGTCGTACGACGATGTGCACGCGCACACGCCGCGAGTATACTCATGAAAACTCACACGTCCACAGCGACAAACAGTGAATACATGACAGCGCGGGCAAACACACTGACTTGATGCGCCGAAATGCGGCTCCCTGAAGGATAGCTGACAGCCCAAAACATGTCATGAAGCACGGATTGCGTCGGGTGATTGACAAATCTGGGCTCCTTTGAGACGTCTTGGCGTCCAGCGAAAAACCCAAGGAAGACCATGGGACATGACATGTGTGACTGGTGTGTCGGACTGAGGCTTCCTTGAGTCATCTTGGCGGCAAACTGAAAGCCTTTGGTATGCCAAAAGAGTGCGAGATGCTTGGGGGTGTGCCAAAAGGGGCCCTAACCAACAGCCTCTGGGACCCCATGAGGCAAGAAATGCCTCGGACGTGTGCCAAACGGGTTGGACCTGGACCCACCTCAGAAATGTAAGGGCCCGGGGCGCATGATCCTCGAGCGATCGCGCACAGAATGCACCTGGAACGTTCCTGGGACACCATCGGGTCTGGCCCTGGGGCGCACTGTCCTGAAGCGCGCACACACAAAATGCAGATATGGTGGTGTAAGCCTCCTCCTCCTCCTGTCCATACTATGCGACACCCAGAAGAGCCCCATGTCCGCTCGCTTTAAGAAACTAAACTCAACATGTAACGCAAATATTGTTAAACACTGTAGCCACAAATGCGCCGTGGACAATCACACCATGGGGTAAGGGTGATGACCACCCGCTGCCGACTCAAAGCACAACGCCACACTTGGACAAAGGAACCAAGAAACAATATGGCGGTGGCAATGAATCCCACCAGCCCTCTTGGTCGTAGGTGGTGTTTGGCGTTTCCTCTTCCACCCCTACCTCTTCCCCTTCGGGGAGGGGTTTACCCCTCCCCCCACCCCCTCCCCGTGGACCTGGACGGGGGGGGCCGCGAGCGGTCAGAGCGTCCAAAACGGCCTCGGCGAGGAAGCCAAAATCATTGATGTTACGATTGTTTGGGCCCCATTTTGGCCTCCTGAGGGGGCAACCCTAATTGAAGCTCCCCTCTTCTTTGATCGATCTCCTCCAAGATGGCCCCAAGAAGCGCCCAGGAGGCCCCAAGAGTGCCCAAAGATGGCCCCAAGAGGCCTCCAAGAGGCCCCCAGGAGGCCCCCGAGAGGATCCCAAGCGGCCCAAAGAGGCCCCCCCCCGAGACACCCAAGACGCCGAAAAAGCTCCTCAGGACCGCCCACTACTCGCCTGGGCGTCGTTTCTGAATGGGCTGGTGAGCATACGCGACGCGTCTAGAATTTCTTCCAGAAGCCCTGCGCAGGAAATTTCGGCGCAATCGCAGGAATGAGCAAAGACGGTGATCTACGCACTAGCGTTCGGTGGCAACTCATGGGAGCCTCCCATACCATCTTGTCGGCTCTTGCGAATCGACGCTAATCGAATCGACTCTAGTCGACGCTAATCGACGCTACATCGACGCTAACCGACGCTAACTGACGCTAAATCGGCGTTCTCTCATCGACCCCCAGACGCTAATCGACGCTAACCGACGCTAAAGACGGAATTGAAAGGGTACACCAGGCTCCCATGACTTGCTACCGAACTAGCGATTGCAACATCAAACTCTTCAAGACTGCAAGCTGAGCGCCGACAGTGCAAACTCAAGCAAGCTGAACGTACTGTTACGGAACCGAATGCAACTCTTGCGCCGAGGCGGTGATTTCGCAACTACCCTAACATGTCATCGAACTAGAAGACGTGCAGCCTGCAGTGGCAGAAAACTCGGAAGAGAAACTGCCTGTCGCGAGGGCGTGTGGAAACCTGAGCTGCGAATCTACACTACGACCAAAAGGGGAAGAAGTGGAGGATGCTGAAACCACTCGTCCGGTGATATCCTTGACAACAACACAATAAGTGATTCTCCACACAACTCCGAACATACCACAGGTGCCATGGCAACTGTACAGCATCTGCCTATTTCGTATCAGCACGGCTACAGACCGGCAGGGAAAATCAAACTGCACAGCCTGGTGCGATCTCTTGCTCAAACCATCTGGCAATAAAAGCGGCGAACGGCCCCCGAAAGCCCGAGAGCTATGAAAATCTGCCGCCCTGAACTCTCGGACGTCTGCGTCTGCCCTGGTGCCGCTCGGGCAGCCCGGATCACTTGCGCAGGTGTCCCCTGGTGCTCTGCCTACTCGAGCTCGAGTTCCTCACCGAGGCGCCCAGCTGCGACATGATGATCGCCGGGTCCATGGCGGGCCGTCCGCTGGCCGCGTGCTTGGCCACCGCGAATCCGACCTGCCTGTTCACGTTGTCGTAGACGGTGTAGAACCGTTCGAGGAACGTGATCCCCAAAATGAAAAGCGGGCCCCTGGGCGGGGGAATATCGAGGGGCATCAAGGTGACCTCGCAGGAGTCCGAGACCGTATCGACGTAATCGTCCGGCTGGAGGTTCAGAATCTGCCCGTTGACGAGGAAACCAAGATTCGGCAACCCATGGTAATTCGAGCAATCGGGCTCCACGTTCAGCCTCATAGCTAACTCTTGTACGATGGGACTCGGCCCAGCCAACTCCGACGTCCCTGTGTCCACCGCAACGTAGCAGTTGACGCATAGATTTTGTGGACGGTTGTCAATGGTGATGTCAGAAATCTGAACCTCCCAGTAGCCCGTGTCGCGGGTGACGGGCGCCCAATGCAGGTCCGACGCCATGTGGCTTGTCTTGACGCTACCGAAGGTGACCTCGGAGACCTCCTCTTGGGAATCGGCTTGTGACAGGAAGACCGAGAACATTGTTTGATGGAGCCTTGCGGTCGCCTTCAGCCTTTCCATTGCATTGAAATCGGAACCGCGCGACGCTGTGGACAAGGCCAAACCCAACACACCGTCAAACTGGTAAGAACCAAACGGGATTTGGCTCTCGGAGACAGAGGATATGAATGAACCGGGGAAGCACACAGTGCCAAGACAAATCTGATCCCTGACGCACCGACCCGACATAGTTCCGGTGCCGAATGAAATGGACACTCTGCTCTCACCGGAGAAGTCATCGGACATCTTGGGATTGCAAGAAGCAAGGCGCGCGCTGGTGGATTGAGTAATGTTGTAGCGTGTGTGATGGAAGCATGCCTCGCTTTCGCAGTCGGTCGCTGGCACTATCAGATTCCCACTGCCAGAATCGAACACGACCTCGAACGACTGTCGCGGGGTGCCGATCTCGACGGTGCCGAAGTAAGCCGTCTTGTGGACCACCTTGGTGTTGGCCCTCTTCTTCCGGCGAAACCCTCGGAGATCAAACTGGACGCCAGTGTAAGCCTGGTCATGGCCACTGTCATGGCCATGGCCATGGCCATGACCTCGGACGTTATCCGTATCCGCGATGGTTTCCTTGATGGTCTTCTTCTGCAGCTGCACCGACGTTGCCACCCCGACTGCTTCGCCGAACGTCACGACGGAACAAAAAAAGGCACACATCGCTGATGCTGCTAGCGCCATGTCGCTCGACCCGGGAAGCATGGACCTAATTACATCTAATCTGTGTGAAAGACATGTAGAATAGTACTATACAAGTGGATAGAGCCAAGCTGGCTCTCTACGGGACGAGGAAGAGGAGAGGAAGTGAGTCGGCCGACTCTTTGTGGATCACGAGGCGTGTGAGATTCCCATACCCACCCCCGGGGACCCCAAACAGGGAAGTCAACCCCCCCTGGCCGGGGACGAACCCCCGCCGAACTCATCAGGAAGGGTGCAGCCCTCCCTGGGCTCTCTTGGAGCTACAAGACAGCCCCAGAAGCCTCCCAAGAGGCCCCAAGACGGTCCAAGAAGGCCCCGAGTCCCCGAAAGATCGTTCCAAAACGCCCCAGACTGACTACCTACCAGACCACCCCAACCCAACCCGAAGACCCGAATTTCGGGTTGGGGGGGTATGGGCTCCATATGTGTTTTTTCGATGTTCCCGGACCCCCCCACACTGGAAATGGAGGGCAAATTGAGGCCTTCGGGTTGGGTTGGGGTGGTTTGGTGGGTGGTGACAGACGGCCTCCAGACGGCGCACGATCCCCCACGTGGGCCTCAAACTGGAAAATCGTCCCTTTCCTACCGTCGGCATTCACTACGTCCAGCACGGCCCAAGAGGCACCCAAAAAAAATCCAAAACGGCCCAACAAGGCTCCAACACGGCCCCCCCCCCCAAAAAAAAACGGCCCAAGAGGGCCCCAAGACGGCCCCATTCACGGCCCTAGAAGGATCCAGAGCGGCCCCATGAGGGGGTCCCGATGGGGAACCCGAAAAGAAATCAAAGCCTTCAGCCGCAAGACACTTCCAAACTGCCCCACAAAATCCCCAAGGCGGCCCAAGAGGCCTCCAGGGAGTTCCACCAGGGACCCAAAAAGCTCCAGGGGCCCCCGGAAACTTCCCAAGTGGCCAAAAGCCTGCTTCCGCGACGCCCCCGAAAAGGCCTCACACAAGACCCCATCAATCATCCGATTGGCCTCGGACCCACAACCCACGCACAGAGGCGGGATGGGCCGAAGGCCATTCGATAATCATTGCCCTGGTGCTTTGACAGATGCCGGGCGTCTTCGACAGTGGATGACCGCCTGTTTCCACATGAGTGCACGACGAACACTGAGACTGTCACCCGCGGAACATACAATGGGCCCACGAAGCATCCCTCAAGACTCTGACACTGCCACTCCCCTCGTCCCCCAGACCGCTCCGACAAAAACTTCGCGCAGAACCCTTGAGACTTCGACACAAAATCATGCCGGGGCATGGATCAAAACTATGTGTAAAACAGTTCACGATCCGGGATCTCGCGAAACAACTCTATCGTCCAAGGTGGCACCATGCGTTCCGGAGATGCTGGCATCGTCCCGACCCGCTACCGGAGGTCTGAATGAAAGGCCCACCACCATATCCTGATGTTTCACCTTCTTCCTCTTTCTCCTCTTTCTCCTCCTCCTTCTCCTGGTCGTCGTCCTCCTCGTCCTCTCCTCCTCCTCCTCCTCCTCCTCCTCCTCCTCCTCCTCCTCCTCCTCCTCCTCCTCCTCCTCCCCCTCATCCACCTCCACATTATCCCTCATCCTCCTCCTCCTCGTGCTCCCCCCATGCAGGACCGAGCGTTCGCCCGATGCCACGAGCGCCTTCGCAGGTGTCACGCGCACGACTTGCATTTCAGCGCGCCGTTCCTGTGAGAACGCGCGAACTTGGGTCCAACGACGAACTGAGATTCCGGGGGCTTCTCATTGCAGGTGCCGAAGCACTCATACGTTTGTCCGCTGCGCGCTGTGAAGCCGATGTCCAAGCAGCCTTCGCAAACAACTTTACTCTTTATCGTGAAATGGTCGCTGTCCTGTTTGTCGTTTGTGTCCCTGCCGCGCAAACTCTTTAACGCACGCCGCGCGCGTCAATCCAGCCGCTTCGCCGCATCGGCTTCTCCATTCGCGGTTATGCCGCGCGTGCTGCACACATCTCTGGTTTTTTATGCTTCCGATTGTCCTTCACTTGGCCGCGGTTCACATGGCCTGTTTCCAAAACAATCATCCCGCATCCTGGCGCGCAACGGATCAACGGCTCCGCTTGTGCCTCTACTCTTCGCTTGCGATGGACTCACGCGCCGGCTCCTCACGCTCCTCCACACTTTTCCGACATAACCTCTCCACCGCTGCATGTTGCTTCTTCTGTGCTGCCGACACCTCCGCCTGCTCTTCGAACAGCGCCAAG